CTTTAACGCGAGGGCAGAAAAATAGCAGATAGTAATATCAGCACATATCACAATCGTGTCAAAGTGACAAATTTTTTTCTGTAGTGAAACGTCTCTAAATTGAAGAAACTTGCTTCTTTTATTCATAAAATAAGTTAAACTCCTCAGTATATGGTTACTTGTGGTGGACTTATTGAGGAGTATCGGATTTTCAGACCATTCACCAATACAGCGTTGTAGTTTAGTGGTTTACCAACTCTGTGCGAAAATGAAAAATTGAGTGAGAAAACCCATTGTTGGCGTCAAAAAGGTGAAATGTCATTTTCACTTGACCCCGAGACAGCCCGGATATATTCGCGCAAAAGGGGTCATCGTAGAAATCAGTCGAGTCTTTTTATCTATAACGCGATACCTTATACCAAACCATCCGTAGAATGACTTTGAGAGAAGAGCTCCCTGAACGATTCTGCCGTGCTAAGGAAGAACGCCGGATGAACATTCGAGAGTTGCCAAATTTCCCGTAATAAACGTGTATTATCGACAACATTCATGCATATTTTTCCTTGAAATGTTCAAATTTTTTGGATGAAATTACAAACAAAACCGTCTGAAAAATTTGAGGTAAATTATTCAAAACTTTCCCAATAAATTTGTATTCTATCCAGGGAAATTCAGCAGCGTCTGAAGGTTCTTACGGTGTTCTTCCTGAGCATGACAGAATAGGCGTTATACAGTATAAGAGAAGAAGTCTATCTACAAAAAGCGTTAGAGAGAAACACTTATCTGTAATTTAAATTCAATGCACCTAATGTTTTTTTTAAAAACACACCAAGCTAGATAGACCCTTCCTGATAATGAAGACGAATTTGACATCGAATGACACCGACCACAGTTCAGAAACTGCCACCGATGCTGCTGTTTTATTTGAATTTCATTCTCATTGCGACCACAAAATCGGACCCGCTGCGGTTTCACTTGTTCGGATCTCCTCCGGTCTTAAGCACTGCGTCATCAAGTTACTCTGCTCGCTGCGTAAGCCCAACAACTAAAATTTCAGGAGTTGTGTACGAGCGCTGTTTTTTCCCACATTTCCAGTTTGGAATGGAGAATTTTAAGTTACGTTGACCCGCACCGTCCCGTAGGTATCAGTTGCGCCGACCAACTGCAGTATCTCATAAGCACGTATCGGTTCCAACAGGTTTTCCTCTTCTCTCTCTGCGTCTATCTTGCCTTCGTTCGCGCTTGATCTAAGTTTCTTGCTCTAACATGAGCTTGACATGTCTGGGGAGAGCTTAGAGAGAGGGAAGCTGCGCGGCAAAAATTATACAAATCTTAAATCTTGTAGTGTGGTCGATATTTCTTTGACCAATTGATCACAGGATTCATGCCTTTTTATATGATGGCAGATTTCATCTATGAAATGAATGACCTTTATGCATGTAAAGGGAAACTGTGCTGACGATTATAACACACAAGTAGGGCCGGACTAACTATTATGAAGGAGTGGCGTTCCCCACCCAGGCCTCGCAGTCTGCGGGACCCTGCGCCCAAGTAATGCTAAGGGTGAACAGGTGCAAGTGCAAAAATATAGAGCAGAATAAAGTGACAAACAAAATCACCGGAATATCTGTCAAACTCATTCTGATTAAAAATTGCTACTTGCACGGAGAGCCCAGGCCCAACCAAGAGAAAATTAGACAAAAATCTTACTACTTTCATGAATAAATTGCAATAATGCATTTAAATTAATTGCATTTGTATTAATTTGTGTAGTGGAAAACAAAGGGTATGTAAAAGCAGCCCGAAACGGAAACGACAATCGAAAACACAGGTAAAAGCGGAAACAAGGCTAAAAATACACAATATAAAGGCAGGACGTTTCGGTACCTTACGGCACCATTATCAACTGCAAAAAGAATTAAAAATAAAAAGAAATTAAAATATAAACCAGCAAACGGCGTTACATCGTGAAATTGGTAAATGAGACTGCAATGATAACAGAATAAATTGAATAAATTTAATAATAAATTTTTGTATATGTTAATTGGTTCTAAATCATACTAATATCTCGATATGACAGACGACTACGAAAATTCAGGTTAAAAAATGATCCCTTAAGACCGATTTCAAAGTGATAAACTGCAAAATATCTCGCAAAAATGAAAAAATACAAGGTAGAGTCACCGTTCCATGTTAAACGTTCTGGTTGGCCTTTTGGTGAATTAATCCGGCTTTTTTCCTCGATCAATTGTGACACCTGAGAGTAATACCACTATTCGGCCACGTGGGAGCTCAGATTGCCTACACTGAAACCTGAAGGTGAACTGACAGTGAGATAAAGTCACCCCTCTTTTTTTTTTTTAGAAAAAGTTTTAATCATGGAATTGTCTTTAATATTTGACACATCAAGCAGGCGTTTTATCGCTCAGATTGTATCGATATCGATTGGCTCATCATGTAGACATAGCCTCAAAAGTCAATCAAGTAATCCGTGGGAACAAGTTTTTGCAATGGATTTTTTATACTTATGAGTTACAAATCACAATGAAACTGAAATTGCTAGGAAATTTCCTCTTTCTCAGTTTTTCTAACTTAAAGAATCGTAAAATTTTCGGTCGAGGTTATTCTCTGTTGTTTTGAACCAAACGATTCATCGAACCACTGTCTAATATGCTCCATTCAGGTCAGAAATAATCTACATAGGGTGCTCAAAAAGTTTTGCTCACTTCCGGATTTTGAGCAAACAAAAGCAGCTATCGATTTGCAGTTTACGTGTGCTTAAAGTAGACGTAATTACCAATAAAACAAGACCAAGAACAACTCTCTAGCTTAAAAAATGACAGAGATACAGGGTTTTGAAAATGACACGTAGCGTGACCGCCTCCAGGATTTTTAGGTACATGTCATTTTCAAAACCCTGTATCTCTGTCATTTTTTAAGCTAGAGAGTTATTCTTGGTCTTGTATTATTGGTAATTACGTCTACTTTAAGCACACATAAATTGCAAATCGATAGCTGCTTTCGTTTGCTCAAAATTCAGAAGTGTGCCAAAATCTTTGAACACCTTATGTAATTCCGTGCACAGACATCATTTCCACACTGTTGGTCCTCTTTTTCAGATTTCCCAACTTAAATCCTAAAATTTTCGTTCTAGGTCATTTTCCATTGTTTTGACCCAAACGATACATCTATCCACAATCAAATATGGTCAATTCAAGTCAGAAACAATCTAATACCGTGCACGGACATCATTTCCACACCCCGGGCTCCACATTCAAACGCGAAAACCGTTGAACGATTTTAGCAGCCCCGTTTCCCAACGGAGCCCCATTGTCTCTTTTTATCGATACTGATCCCGATGCACTTTCGCTCCCTCCGCTGCGCAAAGGCCAAAGGAAGGATTCGGGAATAAATCTGAAAAAAACCCCGTCAAGTGGGCGGAGAGTGCCAAACGGACCGCACAAAGGCCCAGCTTCGTTCCCGACCGCGACCCCTATTAATATGCCTCCACTGACAACTCGAAACAATGGTGCGAAGCGAAACCAGCGGAATCGACTCCGAAAAGGAAAAAAGGCCCGTCTCATTATGGCGTTTTTTCCGCCGCTTTTGTAACCTATTAGCCTCGCACAGAAGCTAGGTCAGGTTTCGGAGGTGCGACCGTGGAATCGGCTTTCAGGTTTGCGGGTGGGACGCTCCGCAAGAACGCCGTATGGACCTCACAATGTTGCCAAATGTTCAACCGTGAAATCAACTCTTTTGAAGAAAGTTATGAAAAAGTGAAATATCAGTGCTTCGAGTTTGAAAGTCACAGTAGATGACCCGTGAAATCTGCGAGTTGCCAGAAAAATTGGTTGTTCTTAGAGAGCCGTGGAAAACCACGGAAAAGTCAAGACGTTTCACCGTTGAACATTAAATTTTCTTATCCCTTCAAAATTTTGCGCAGCTCTGACCCGCACTCTGTTAATCCATCGGCAGGGCTTGACTTTTTTTTTTTTATATTTTTTTATTTGTAACTCAGAGATACATAATTTTACAAATAATTTACAAGTCTTATCATTTAAATATCATTCATATCAAGGGCTTGACTTTAGCCATAAATATGTCGCAGAACACGCATTTAGAATGTTCAATATCTCTGACGAGTCGGTTGAAAGTAAGGACATCTTTTATTCAAGAACCTTGAGGAGTCAGAATAACTTTCAGGAAATTTTGATGTTCAAAGAGACTTGTGCAATTAAAATTCAAGGAGAATTTGGGAATAGAAGGCAGTCATTTTGACCACACAACCTTTTCTGTCTTGTCAAAATTTTAAATAGCTCCGACTACTTTACTCATTGACAGTATTTGGGCTAAACTCTAATTTTGCACCTTACCTCTTTAAAAGCCTTCTCATGACAAAATCATTTAAATGTCATTTAAATCTGAAAATCAGGAATTTTCCGTTTAAAAATTCTAAAATTTTGGGAATAAACCCAGGAATTCTCGAAATTCACAGTTAAAGGCTTGTCAACATGTGCGAATTATTTTCATTGAAATCTTCAAGTACACGCCCTGAGATTGCGATTGTAATTCTTTGAAAAATTTCAACTTTTCCAGATAAGTGTGTTTTTTCAGAAGAAATTTGGCAACCTTAAAGGTCCATACGGTGTTTATCTCTAGGGCGGCAGCGCTCCAGAATCAGGCTGCGGAGGGTCCCAGACACAGAGGCTCGTGAATGACAACTGAGCGTACGATTGCTCGGCGAAAATATTTCCTAATTTCCACAGCTGTTCCGGTCCGCCAACTCGAAACCTCCTAACTCCTTACCAAATTCCTTGCAGATAGGTTGTTTCTACCGAGGACAGTGGTGTTGGGGTCATTTGTCATAGCTCCGTCTCCCAAATTAGAGCATCCAGTGCGAATTCATTGTGCTCCGGCCCCTCCACGGCTGCTAGTTCTCCGGTGGGCCGCTGGAGCGCGGTAGCGTTCGGGAGAGGGGTCGACCACTTGCAGATGCCGTAGCCGTTCCTTTTCCAGCCAGTTTGTTTTCACGCGGCGGCGAGGCGTGGTGTATCAGTCGAAGTGCGTTTTGTTTACGACGTGATACGGTTTCGGATTCGACTGGATTTTATTCTCCTCGCGATTTCCTTAAATCGGCCGTTACTTTCCACGATATTTCTCTCCGATTCTACGAAGGTTCATTGTTGTGTTTTCTCTTATTAATTGTCGGGTTATCAAGTGTTCAATCGTTTCCTCGGCGCATTTTGGCGTTCTCAGCCTATGCTGTAAGGATTACCGATCACCGACGAATTGGATTAATTCTGTGCCGGATTATACGTTTTCAAAATTGTGCTCAAATTCTATGATATTCACCCAATCTAAAATGTGACAAAATTGTGTGTTTTATGTGTTTTTATCAACACGGCTGAGCTGTAATCGTAACCGAATCATTTGCCTATTCGATGTTCCCAGCTTTACGGAAAGCGATTGATGTGCCCGTTTATCCTACCGGATCCATATTTTCGGAAAATCTCTTTTACTAAATAGCCAACATTGTTATATGGCCTCAGTGCATAATCTTTGCCAAAATTTCAGCCAGTGAATTTCATTTTGTGTCTGCAACGCGTTAGGTATTGTGATTCTCACGGAGGAGTTCTCTTATTATTATCTTCGCTAAGTACGTGTTTTCCCTCGAATTTCAGTGATATTTATCCCTTGGCGTCATCTTGGTTTATCCCGGTGATAAGTGTTCCTTTAAATTTTTTGCTCCCAAAGTTTTTGTGCCCCGAATCTCTGGATTAATTTGTGTTTAGTGTTCTTGAATGGATAAAACTATCTCTTCCTCATGTACGTCAGATGAAATTTCAGTTCCAAGCTTGGTAAGGACGAATTACATTACCGATATTATCTTATCTCATGAAACTGACGACTCAATGTTTTATTTCTCCTCCCACGCTCGCTACTTTATGACTGTTATCGTCTCTCAGGAGGATAACGAAGTAATTCTTATCCAAATATGCAGACCTTTCGCTGACCATAATAACTAGGCAATTAGGCATGAAGTAATATCTGGTTCCTGATACTTATTTTTTGAAATCACAGGGGCTCATATTTGTTGATGATGCCATGACATGAACGTGATCAATTTAGATTCGTGCGGATGTCTTGTCGAACTAGGGATTTTGATGGCCACGGTCGAAACATGCGTAAATATCTTAGATCGACTTTGCAACGGTCCACTCGTGTTTTATTCTTTAAGAAAACGATGTGATAGTTTTTCCAGGAATCCATACCCTAGTAAAAATAAAATGCCCTTAGTGCGTTCGGAGTGCACTCGGAGTGCACTCCGAACGCACTAAGTGTGTAGCGTGAGAGTGGGTGCGCTTCGAGTGCACTCGGGGTGCACTCGAGGTGCGTCCGTGGTGCGTCCGTGGTGTCTGGAGGCACCATATGTCTGGAGTGTGTCCGAATCCACCGACGGATCGAGGATACCTTTCCATTGTATCCGCGCCGGGTTTTTACCTGGCGGCGTGACCCTTGATGATCTACTGGTGGCGAATAATTTGCGAACCAATTTTTTTTTAATATTTGAAAATTGTCCGTTNGTGCACCCCGAGTGCACTCGAAGCGCACCCACTCTCACGCTACACACTTAGTGCGTTCGGAGTGCACTCGGAGTGCACTCCGAACGCACTAAGGGCATTTTATTTTTACTAGGGTAGTGAATTGTGTCCATTCGTTGAAAACTATTTTTGGAAAATAGATGAGATATGAGTAATTTTCCCAGTATTGTTAATCTTATAATCTGAGATTTTCAATCGTCTGGAACGCGGACGAGTAGATACCTACTTATTTCGAGACCTCAGCCATCGATGTATCCCATATAATAACTACTGTAAGTTTGAAGCATTTCTGGGAGCTTGAAATTTTCATTTATCAGGGGAAAATATCGCTGTATCCTCGCGAGTGGTTCATTCAATTTTTTAATGTATTCCAAAGGCAATTATACTATTTTGTATGTGTCCCTTGAGCAACATCAACAGATGATTCTGTAATGAAGTTTCTAGCGTGTCAAATTAAAAAGTTGAATAGGTTTTTCCATAGTAATTACGTTCTCAATACGACAAACCTCAAACCGTCGTAAGTAGCTCCTTCATACTTTCGGGTTGTTTTTTTTTTGCTTCAATACTCACAGTTCCCTAAGCAGTCATACCAGCATCTCAATTTTCGGTCCCCTTTTCTTGTCGACTGTCTAAAATTGTTCTTTAGACTACATTCTGCATTTTGTAACTAAAATTTCTGGTTCATCTGAAAGAATACGTTTGTGCTCAGAACAACTAATGCTACCCATGTTGTTTCTGAACGGAGCCAGAAATTAAAGTTCCTTATTGCAAATTGTAGCTCATATAAAGTCTCGCGAATTTTGTTCTAAACTCTAAAAATTCGAACTTTTAGGATTTTCCTACGAAAATACTTGGAACGTTTCTCGTGTTAAGAAAATGAAAGCTCAGAAATAATCATAGAAATAATGAAACTGCGAAAAATGTAACTTCTTATAATTTTCGCTCTTCACTTCACAATGGAAAAAAAAACACATTGGATCTAGAGTCCAGACTCTTGAAAACATTGACAAGAAAACGGACTCTTGATTCAATCAGATTTAAGCTTAAATCAAAAGGAAATCCGCTCAAATTAAGAGGCTTGGTTCTCGATATAAGCTTAAATCTGATTGAATCAAGAGTATTTTTTCTCGTCGATGTTTTTAAGAGTCTGGACTCTAGATCGAATGTGTTTTTTTTTTCTTTCCAGTGCACAGCCTTATCACTCAGCGAGGCACCATTNGGGGGGGGGGGGGGGGGGTTGATTTTGACATTTGGAGCATTGTCATTATTTTAAGTTTTCTACCTTTCTTGTGGGCAAATTTCGAATTCTACCAACGAGTTTCGCAATCCGTCGCGCCTTACTCAACAAAAACGATATCTTACAGCTAGCAGTCCTCGATTCATCTTTCTGAAAGCAGCAATGCCCGTCTAACGCCCATCGTCACGGGTTCTAGGCAAGACACGCTCATGCTTGCTCGATGTCCATGAAGACATTACCAATAACATTCTGTAACATACACGCAAGCCGGGGATGAGCACGTGGACGCAAAGGCCCTCCAATATGAAAATCGAGGGCTGAACGGGTTGAAGGCGTAAAATGCGGACAGAGTTATTGCGCGAGCCGCTCAGCCCTTGCTCTCTCAATCGGAGCTGAATTGTAGTCGGATGTGGGCCCGGTATTGACAGTTATGCGCGCCACGGATACGCGATAAAATAATAGCGCGTGTGATAAAAACGGACGATAAATAAGGCCCGCAAATGAATAAATATCCAAGACGACAGTTATTGATGCATAAACATTCAGCATCCTACAACGGAGTTGGGACCGTATCGGTGGATTGTCGTGTTTGGGTGGGGGGAGGGGGGGGGGCGCTGAAGCGATGGGAGGTGAGGTTAGAACAATGCCCAAAATGAAATCCCTGTGTAATGTGGTCTTTGATGGACTCGGGTTATCGGTCACAGCTCTAAGCTGGCACTAACCTCGATTTGTTTTGATTGCGAAATTTTGGTTGATTCTCGATGTCACCGTACCATGACTGAACTCCAAAATACATTTCTCGAGTGGAAGTTTCCAAAAGGACTACATTTTGAAGTTAGGAACTACAATTTCAGGGTGTCAAGCGACCGGGAAGACGGGGTGAACCGGGAAATGTCAGGGAATTTTTCGGGTGTCAAGGAATCTGCAAAAATTCAACTTTAAGGGAATTTTATTTTGTAAGCAATTTTCACGTCAGAGAAACGTCAGGGAAATCGAATAACACGAATTTTCTGGAAAATGTTTCGCGAATTTTGCTTATGCGGTTTCTATCAGAATTTCTGCAGTTGTCTTAATTTTAAAATTGTATTCTAAAATTAAATTTTTTTTTTTTAAAAACGTGACATCTGCAGAAATTCTGATAGAAATTTCCGCAAGAGTGACATTCGCGAAACATTTCACTTATCCAGGAAATGTCAGGGAATTTTTTTTGGAAATTGGTAGACACCCTGAATTTCAGGCTCGTCCGTCAAAGCATCTACTTACCTGCACAGACAACCTCATATTGACGGTGAAACGGCAAGAATGCGTATCTGGGTCGTGGAGTGGCGTAATCTCCGCCACCATTTTATTTTTGTTCCAGTTAACCTGTTTTAGTTTTAAGTATAAGTTAATATGTAAATTTCCTAATACCTGTACGGTAGGTGAAATTCTTAATAAATTCAAATTCAAAAAAAAAAAAAAAAAAAAAAAAAAAAAAAAAAAAAAAAAAAAAAAAAAAAANAAAAAAAAAAAAAAAAAAAAAAAATTATTTTTCAATTGGAGACCGAACCAACAGAATGGCCTTGAAGTTTTAACAGAATATCCTATACCCACATATAGAGAAGAAAAATCACTGAAATTAACAAAACATGGCGTTCAGTAGTTTTCCATGCAGAAAGTAAAGTATGACAGGAAGTCTGCAACGCCGCAAAGCGAGATACGCATTTCTGCAGTGTTTCACCATCAATATGAATTTGACATGAGCCAGATATTATAGTTACTAATCGTAAAATGCAGTCAAAATGTTAACACGCAATTCTTGTGTCATCGGTGTAAATGTTCTAATCAATGTTGCGGTCGAAAGTTTTCTACGATCTTTCATCATAATTTTGTGATCATTCTCTCAGTATTTCAAAGCAAAACGGTGATTTTTTGCCATTTTCCATTTGAAAAATTTACAAGCGTTGTAATGCTAGACTTCTAATTCCGTCTAGTGGTACATTGTCCACGACTGCAAAATTGCAAGTAGATTGGACCAGAAAGTCTCATGTACCTACTAGGAAGCGTGGCTCGGATTTTCCTGCATGCCATTGCATTGGATCAGGTTTCACGGTCCGCGAAGCTGAGAACTCGTGCACTGAGGAAGCTAAATTAATAAGACTTTGAAAAATACGGCATCCTATTTCATATCCAGGTAGATATTACTTCGCAGCATCCCCTCGTAAATATCGTCCAACACGAACGTTTAAAATTAAATAACGTATCTCGGCAGCGAATCTGCACGTTCCAATAATTCATGCCTTAATTAATCGGTTTCATGACGATTGCTAATTGGTCCGCACGGGGGCAGCTTTGACCTGCGGGGACGTGGCACCTTCAGTACGGTGTTGCCATCTAGTTCATTTTCTTCCAGAAGTAATTTTCTTCGTGTCCAGGATTTGAATCTAATCGGATGCGCATTTATTCAATGATAATTTTCCGATTTGGGTCAGTTGAGACGATAATGAACAATTATCAAGTCGAAATCATTAAATCTGGCATTGGCTTGAGCCTTTTAATTTCATTCTTTCCTCGCTGTATGGTTCTAAGAGGTAGCTTTGAAAATTGACACATTTTGCGGCTTCTTTGCTGTATGCTAAAGCACTGAGAAAAAACGAGTGGATGATTCGTCATTTCTCAGTGAATGTTCTACATTTCAGTGAATTTTCTACATAGTACGAAGCAAATTCCTTAAGATTACTCTACACGGGGAGAAAAAAGTCGTGCGTGGGACCCGAAGTTTAGGTCATATGGTTCTCTGAAGTTTTCAGATTGAGCATCTGAAATTTTTAGGTCTAGCTGTCGAGGTTCGGATCACACATCTGAAACCTCAGTTCTTACATCTGGAGTACTTCAGATGTGAGAACTGAAGTTTTTCGGATGTGAGAACCGAAGTTTTTCGGATGTGAAAACAGAAGTACTTCAGATGTAAGAACTGAAGTTTCAGATGTGTGATGCAAACCTCAGCATTGGACCTAAAGTGTTCAGATGCTCAATCCGA